TTTTGACGAGGCCTAGGAAAAGAGAGTGTGGCCCAACTACAAAGTGGGGCCGGGTAAAATGGGAGAATTTTAAGAATTCAATGAGTTAAGAGCCCAATTTGAAAGAAATTCACAAAATCGCTTAGGTTTATATTCAATGCAGACACGCAATGCCTAAACAAAATTATCTCTAATTTCTATATATAGAAGAATGCAGTGAAGAATGAGAATGCAACACGATGTAACATTGATGTTATTGTTTAGGGGTCCACCTCTTTGTATATGGACGAGTTCAATCTCTAATTTTCTTATGAGATGAATAAGAAACCTTTGAAGGAAAATTAGGTGTCAAGAGAATAGAGAGAGATGCACATGTCCATCGCCCGCATGAGCTTCGTGTGGCTGTGGTCAATGATGGTGAGGCACGTTTCGAGGGAGGCGAGTGAGAATATCATCCCATCGACACTGCTCACAATATCGACAGCCACCCGACTTGATCTATACCTACTATGACGTATAAAAAAGCAATCACCTTTCCAACTTCAAATTTTCCCATAACAAGAAGAATGCACGTTCAACATGCATGAAAAAGACAAAAATTGATGAAATAAAAAAAAATGAAAAAGATGCTACAAAATTAATTAAAAAAAGAAAATAAAATGAGTGAGTACCTTAGGGAAGGAGGTGAGGAAGCCACAAGAGGAGGCAGGGAAGAACTTGGCGGTGTAGATAGGGAGATCTGAGAGCGTAGCCATCAAGTATTTGGATCTACATCAATGATAAGTTCTTCCAATAATGAAAGGTTTGAAATCACTTTGGCTTTCTGTGCCAAAATTGGACGATGACATGCGGAAACCATCTCAGTTGGGTTAAACATCCAACTTAAATATAGGTAAAGAGATGTTTCCAGCGCGTCGGATTTCTAGCAGCTCTAGATGCACTAGTGCCTCTAAGCTTGGAAGGAGTTTTGTTAAACGCGTCCAAAAGTTCAATTGTAAAGTGCCCTAAGGCCAGTCAAACAAGACAGAGAAGGTGGAACAGATGCGATTGAGGTATTATGTAAGTCCTAGACTCAGAGTCTTTGCACAGACAATTAGAAGCTATCTGGGAGCATCACCAAATTGTAATTGCTTTGCAGGAGTGAAGTCGAATGCCTACTTTTGGAGCAGTGACTGTTTAATTTGATATTTTTTCAATATAATCAACACACATTGGTCTCCTATCTCAAATATTAATGATCGTCCAACACAAAAAAAAAATTACAAATATGTGATTGTAAATACGTGGTCAGTTCGTAGTTGAAAATTTCAAGTTTAAACCAATATTGTTTTCAATAAGAATTTAATGAAGATCTATATTAATAAATACAAATTTATATTTAAGATATGTGATTATCGATATAATTTATTATATAAATAATGACTCTGAAATTTGTGCGACGGTTAATTTTGAATTTAGAGTCATTATTGTTCCTCTTTTATGTTTAGCTAACTATTAATTTGATAAGTTTTTCTACATGAGCATTTGTTTCGCGGAAGATCACCAATTTGGAAAATTTTCTCTAGAAATTGATCGTCTATATCACTTACAAAAATAAATTAACGAAATATATCTTCATCATCAACGAAAATGTTCAAACGTAGAATGTGGTTGATAATGAAAATATTTTCTGTGCATTAATTTTTCGAAGCGATACAAATAAATATACAAATATTTTCCAACCATTGATTGTCCGCGAAATAATGTACTCCTAGTTTTTTTTTTTTGGTCAGCTAACGTACTCCTAGTTGGAACCCAGAAAATAAGAGTGTAATAGAAAAATTTATAACTGTGAAAATTGCTATCAGACTAATCCAGAATCACTTTTAATAAGTATACAAACACTTCGGTATCAATTTGTGAAATTGAATTGATAGATCTTTTCGATTTTATTACAAATTGAATCCGTTCTTTTCCCCAAAGTAGATCAAATTTTAATTATTATCGATTTGTTTACTCATTTGAATATATTTGCACTATGTTCGTGCTGTTTTGCTGGTTTGTTTTAAGCAAGGAATGGATTTTGTTCTACAAGAATCAATTCTTATCTCTACTATTTTAAATATAATTTTCTTACTTTTCTTGTAGCAACGTAATTCATAATTCTTTACTAAAAATATAGCACAGGCCCGGAAGAATAGTGAAAAAAAATTAAATTAGTAAAGAATAATGTGTCAAGATTTGAACCATTTTGGGAATGTGAGCTTAAGTTGTTATAAAATCGAAAAGATCATTCGTGAAATACTTGATATTTTATCTTGCAATCTAATTCGGAAAGTGAAAGATTCACGGATTGCTCGATGATAATATAAATGGACGTAAGTTACGATTTTATCAATTTTTAAGTACATACATCTATAGATAATGGTATATTCACACATGTGCTTTTCAAGAAATCTTTTTTTTATGAAAATTTAAGGTCAAAATTGCTGTCGAGTTTGCTTTAGTGACAGTCGAGAAATAAGTTAAAATAAACATTTTCTTGAAAATGAAAGAATTCGTAGGAAAATGCATATAATTAGAAATATACACTTACCATTTTCTAGTCGATAATTAATATATGTTTGTCGACCGTCTGTAATTATTCATACCCTGTCTTGGCTACGGTTTGAGTCACACCAAAGAATGAAGAGATCAGTGAAGTTGTACGACTTCTTCAACCCTGGGACGCCCCCTAAGACAATACTCATTGGAGATAATCAGCAGCCTGCTCAATCAAACAGCGAGAGCAGACGAGACCTCCATCGACGGTGCGCGAGCACACGCGAATCCAAGGCTGTTTCGTTGCTCGATGTCTCGAGCTCAAGCTCGGTGAATAGCTCCAACTGGCTGTCCTTAGGTGAAGATCTCTGTCTCTCCATGCAAAGTCATGCGTTGCAAAACAATGTCTGTCTCGTTGATGAAGACTTCCATGGTGACCCTTTTACGTTCTGTATAATGGTGGTGATGTTGCAGGTAACAGAAGGTATTCATCTCATCAGCAGTCTGGATGGAGTAGTTCGAAACCACACTTGGAGGGGAAGAGCAAGAGCAAGAGCATGACTAATGCTCCTGTTCGTAACATGAACGTTTCGACCGCGAGCTCGAGCAGCTCGGTAGGCTCTAATTGATTGTCTCTCTCCTCGTGAGAATCGTACAACAGAAAAAGAGAAATATTAATCAGATGCGAGAGAAATTATGTTCTTGTTGTCGATTATTCAGATCACGTCTCCCACTTGTTTTTACAATCAATACGAAACCATCACGTCATGGCTTCGGTAAGATATTTTAGTATGCCTAGGGTTACTCGTTGATTAAAGCACAGCAACGATATTGATACAAATAAGAGAGAAAATGTAACGTCTCAAGAACTTTGAACAAGCATGCCATCGTCATGTCCGATGTATTTCCGATGAATACATCGCCGCCACCATCTTCTTGGCCGTTATTCAATTTTGGTCGTTTCGGTCGAACATCTCGAATTCAACATGGGTTGATCCATCGAGTATCTCAATTAAAACATGAAGAATTACTATTGTCCATTTTCTCTTCCCTACAAACATATGGGTAGAATAGTGCACCTAAGATGAATTATGAAAGGCCTTTCAAATACTCGAATGCCTGTCAATCAATTCATTGATTTCGACCTCTACGTGAATTCAACATTTCCATCCACTCAATTACAAGGAATGAGAAGTTAATAGTATCAGCTGCTGATTTAAGTTTGACAATTTGGAAATCTCGAGAGATCATAAGAGTATGATTATGCATATCACACGAGTCATACATCCAATATGTACATATCACACGGTGCTCTCACAATGTGTCGTAGCGGTTGCTAATTCATTTGGACCTACAACACATATAGAAAGAACCGATTCAATATCTTCCTCTTGAATTATTATATTTATCGGAAATTCGGATATTAAACACATTGATAAAGCGAGATACATGTTATCAATATCGCACTAGATTATGTGTAGCTAATGAAATCGGTAACATCACAATCGACACGAGTGATTGATTAACTGGATCACGATAGTAAAGTAAGCAATACATGAAATACTTCGTCACATGAATCGTAGCACGATAAAGCACAAAAGGGGCAACGTAATAAGAATTCATTAGAAATAATATCGAGTACAAGTTTATTTAGCCTCAGGCCTGTAAATTTAGTCTCCCCGATATTTTGAAATTTTATGTCCAAAAGTTCATCACTAGTACTAAAGAAATAACCAAAGTCTAGTAATGTGCCGCACGAAGGTTGAAGGGACTATCAAAAGGAAAATGGAACAAATGATTCATGAACTTTGGCTTGTGTGTAATGTCGTTTATGGACTTTTAATTTATTTAATATGATCTTCGAACTATTAGTAAATGTAGTCCTTTCAGTTTGCTCAAACAACAAATCAGACGTAATTTTGTGACGTGTATTATTATATGTTGAGTTGGATCTCTAATAGTGAGAAGTCAACATTCCATCCTCCTATCCAATTGCTTAAAACAAGGAAAAAAATTTAGGCATTAACATGTCCATCATTATTTGATGAACATGGATTATTATTTATAATTTGATGTGAATATTCTACGTGGATAATCCACCATTAACTTTTTGTCCCACCGTTCAAATTGAACGTACTAGAAACCACATCAGTAAATTTCGAGTTCTTGAATTAACAGAAGACCAGCATTGAACATTTTCAAGCAACTTATGAACTGGATTGAACATTCATCGATAATTCAAGGATCAAATCGAACAAATTAAAAATTTGAAAATCACATTACACGTTAAATCAAAATATTCACGAACCTTTTTGTAATTCCTCCCAATTCGTAAGCACCCACAAATGCTCCCACTCGCGACACATGCGCGTGACTCCTACACGCTTCACCCCCATGCGTGCAAGCCGCTAGTCTCCAAATTAGGCGGGAATCAGAACAGCTCGAACCCTAGAATTCAATTTCATCCCCAATTCCCACTGCAATTTCCTCTCTCTCCGAAAATGGGCATCAAGGTAACTCGACCTCCGTCTTCTTCAATCCGATCATTTTCATATGTTTGTTAATTGAGTCGTCCGTTGATTTCGATAGGGACTGATGAAGCTACTGGCGGACAACGCCCCCAAGGCGATGAAGGAGCAGAAGCTGGAGAGCTACTTCGGCCGGAGGATCGCCGTCGATGCCAGCATGAGCATCTATCAGTTCCTCGTTAAGTGCTTTTCTTTTTATGGATTGATGCCTGTGATTGATTGCGCGTTTCAGTGTTGGTGGGGATTTGGATTTTGAGTGTTGGTGGTTTTTTTTGGACTTTGATTGGTGGATCAGATTGTGGTTGGGAGGAAGGGGACTCAGATGCTCACCAATGAGGCTGGTCAAGTCACCAGGTACTGCTACTGGCATCGGAATACTTAGTGGAAATGAAAATCCACTTTGCTCAAGTTTCTGTTTTGATGCTTCAGATGTTATTGCTTGGACTCGGTTTTATGTATGTGATCTTTATGCTTGGGAAGTGTTGACTTTGAGCTGCTTTTTTATTTGTCTTCTCGTGTAGTCATCTGCAAGGCATGCTTTACTGGACGATTAGGTTGTTGGAAGCGGGGATACAGCCAGTGTAAAATACTCGTCTTTACCTCCTCTGTTTTCATTGGGATAGAATGCTAAGAAGAATGAAGCTCATCTTTCTCTGAATTACGCTTTACTGTTTGTTACGATAGCTACGTGTTTGATGGTCAACCTCCTGATTTGAAGAAGCAAGAGCTTGCAAAACGGTACTTTATTATTATGTAGCCTTCTATTCTCTCGTTTTTTTAAAGTATCTATGAATACGTTTACTTACCTTTAATGAGTCTCTGAGCAGTTTTTTTAAGAGGGCAGATGCCTCTGAGGAGTTGGCATTAGCCATTGCGGTATACGAGCATCTCTCTCTCTCTCTCTCTCTCTCTCTCTCTCTCTCTCTCTCTCTCACGCACAGAGTACAAAAAGGCTTAGTGAACGCTGCATTTATTGCCTGCAGTCTCAGAACAAGCAAGACATAGAGAAATTCAGTAAAAGAACTGTGAAGGTTTGTCTTTGTTTTGATCACTTCCTTACAGTGCGATGTTTTTGTCCTGTTCTATGTGAAGTTTGATTTTGTCTTTGTTTTCCAGAAAAACCTATCTACATAGCTAACTGGGTGTGTGTGGACTTGTGGTACATGACTTTGATACCCTTGCAGGTGACACAACAGCACAATGAAGATTGCAAAAGACTACAAAGATTTATGGGTGTCCCACTAGTTGAGGTTACTATTCTGTCTGAAAAGTTTGTTCTTTTTTTTATTTCTAACAAAAAGTTTAGATATCAAATTCAGTTTTTGTATGTTAGGCTCCTTCAGAAGCAGAGGCACAATGTGCTGCACTTTGCAAAGCTGGAAAGGCAAGTATCTTCCTGTTTGATCGTCTTCTGATTTAGGATAGTTCATTGTTTCCCATGATAACCAATCGTTTAACTCTATGTAAATTACCATCTTGTTTCCATGATTTAATTTCCTTGTTCACTGAACTTATGCTTGTTCACTTGTCTAATGTCTTCTTCGGCATAGGCACTTGTTTCCTCGAAAGAAGTTTTTACGGGATCCACTGAACTTATACTTTTACACTTGTCTAATGTCTTCTTCTGCGTAGTCTTTTACATTTGGTACGTTCTTTACTAAATCATCTTTGTCCAAGGAATTTTCGCTGACTTTGAATTCCTATCATTGCTTAATTGTTGTGCGGTAACCAGAATTCATCTATCACGAATGGTGTTTTAGATGTAATTTTTGTTTTTCAGGTTTATGCAGTTGCTTCTGAAGATATGGATTCCCTTACTTTTGGAGCTCCTAGATTTCTTCGCCATTTTATGGATCCCAGCTCAAGAAAAGTTCCAGTCATGGAATTTGAAATTTCCAGGGTACTTAGAAAAGTTTATTCATTGCGATTGCTTAAATTTTTTTTTCCTCACTTTCATGACTTTTAGATCTTGGAGGAGATGAATCTGGATATGGATCAATTCATTGACCCTTGCATTCTCTCTGGATGTGACTATTATGAAAGCATTCGAGGTAGACGTGATATTATTGCGGTGCTCTGTTAACTGTTTTATGCTATTGTATATCATTCTGCCCTCTCATATGTTTTAGATTGATGATTTCAGTGGCTTTACTTTGGAATGAATTTATCAGGTATTGGAGGGCTGACTGCTCTTAAGCTCATCCGTCAACATGGTTCCATAGAAAACATACTAGAGAACATAAACAAGCAAAGGTGCTTCTTATTCTCTTATCTTGTCCCCCGACTTGTAAGCAAAATAAGGCAGCAAAGTTTCTCACTGTAATTGTCTTGGCTGCTGATTCCTTCACTTAAAAGAATTATCTCTCAAACTCAGCTGGAGCGGAAATATTTGATCAACACTTTGAAACTGAAAGATCATTTGCCACCAATAGATTTGGGCTGGCAATCAGTGCATCAACCATGCTACTTCATGTGTTGATTTACTATAATACTTTTGTCTATTATGATGTCTGCTTTGTCTATTCTTTCACTCTCACTTGAACAAAATTCGTTTCTCTATCCTTAAGACTCGGAGGTTCTTTGCATTACTTGGAAGTCTTTATTCAGTTCAGTTATCCTTCTTAAGGAAATGTTTGCTTGTTTTTTGAATAGGTATCAGATACCCGATAATTGGCCCTATGGCGAAGCTCGACTGCTTTTTAAGGAACCAATAGTTTCTACGGAAGAACAACCTGAGATAAAATGGACTGCTCCAAATGACGAAGTGGGCCATTTTCATGTTGGGATTTACTTGCAACATTTCACTTTTGAATTCTTGACTCATTTCCAAATTGATTGTTCTTTCCCTTTCAAGGGCTTAATGTCCTTTCTAGTGAATGAGAATGGGTTCAACATTGACAGAGTGACAAACGTATGGCTTCTATCTTCAGTAATGTGTTGGTCAGTTGCCTACTCGAGGAAGTTGCTTCTTTTCCTCTGGAGGAGAGAGCATACATGTTTTCAATGTTGTTTTACCATGTGTAGCAGACGATAGAGAAGATTAAGGAAGCTAAGGATGAGTCATCACAAGGCCGGTAACTAAAGCGTGAATAAATGAAAGTGACTTCCAAAATGCACTTTCTTTCATCCGATGATTCCTCATTTATTTTCTACAGATTAGAATACTTCTTTAAGCCAGCTAAGAATCTATCTATACCTGCTAAGAGGAAGGTATGTCATCTTGATATATTTGAGTACTGAGCACCTAGAATTTACCTTCTTTTAATGTATGTGAAGGTGTAATGTCACACATTGCTCTAGCAAAGAGATGTCTTCAGATGCAACTTTTGATGGATGAATAGTACTCCCTTTAACTCACTTCATAAGCCATTGATTGCCCTAGCAATGCACAAATTTTTAGATCTTTGTGATCATTTTTAAACTGTTGGTGGTAGTGTTGTAAATCAACGGTAGTGTGTTGCCATGCCCCTGCTGCTTATGCCCGATTAGTCTCATATAACTTTACAGATGTACTAATGGTGTTGCATCATTCTATTCATGAAATCAATTAGATAAACAAAAGCACCAGCGTGCTTATACGGATCTGTTTAGAATTTCGGCCTGATTAACAACCATAATTGCAATGGATGACAGGAAAGCAAATGCACACTTCAATCCCCCAATCTGGCGTTCAAGCCTAAAACATGCTCTACACAAGTCTCTGTAAATCTCCAGCACAGGTTCCTTGGCAACTTTAAAATGCCAACCGTGGTCCTGGGTTTGAGGAACTTCAAACAGCCATTGAGAGTTGTCTGCCTCCCGACATGGAGCTAAATGATGGTGGATGTAAGAACCCTATTTATTGAGCAAGTCCTGACTTGGAGATGCTGTTTTTGCCCATTGTTGGAAGCAAGTTGATGCTTTCCTTTCCTAAAAAACGGGTCATGTCTTATGGTACTGCAATTTTGGAAGAGATTTGTATAAATTTTTATTAGATGGATGAAGTTTTCTCTCTATGTTAGAATGAGATTGGTACTTCTTGTCTGGCAAATTGCATTTTAGTGTTCATTTTACGATACGTATATGTCACTTATACAATGTGTATATTATTGTCATCCATGCAACAGGAAACCCCTGAATATATTGCCAAAGCAGCAACTAACAAGAGTTCCAGGCTGGTGGTGGTAAGAAATAGTTTAGTTGGCACATAACAGTTCATGGAACAGCAAAACCATCGACATCTATGTCAGGTACTTGTGAGTTTCCCAATGGCGATTCTTCACAATTCTTGATTTCGATTTCTCTCTTAAATCTCCCCGCTTGGCATTGTGATATATGCGTCGTTATGTTTCTTGCCTTATCCAGGAGGTTTGCATGCAAATTACGAGTGGAAACTTGATGTCAGTTTGTAGTCTCATGTAGTCTTTGCTGGACACCATCATATCATGGAAGGTTTCTAGGTGCCGACTGCTGATTTAACTTTCTTTCATGACTACTTGTTTATCTTGTTGGACTCCTATCGTGTGTTTCATGTGTAAGTTTCTCAGTGCGCATACATTTGATGGGTTGACTGATAACTCGGAAAATGGAGATACGAAACTATACCAGCTCGATATCGAATGGTTAGTAGATGACTTCGATTTGTTGCCACTTATGTTACTAACAAATCATATCAAAACTCCAATTACAAATTTAACTTGTTTATTGCCTCTTACATCAAGTCATATCAAATTAACAAATTACATAATATAATTTAGGAGAATTATTTCGAAACACCATAAGAACATTATCATGTTAGGAACTGAAAATTGGAGGCTAGAAAGAGCTAGCAATCATAAAATAATTTTGCATGGAGAAGCAGAGGAGTTACCAAGAAACCGGAATTAGCTAATGCATGCAAAATACATATAGTATACTATAGCTTATAATGTATATAAGTAAATTGCAATACGATCTTTAATCAGATCATATATTTTATTTATTTGTGTAGTATAAATCCTATCATCTGTTGGGTCATTTACCTATGTGTATAGTACATTAAGGTAAATGAAAATTCAACCATTGATTTGGTCCACCTATATTTGTTGATAGAGTATATGCCACAGTGAAAATGGTTAACTCACACGGTAGGTGTAAGAGCCCAGTTACGTTGTGCATATTTTGCAAATGATCAAGTCGTAACTGCTTTATCTTTAGGTCACATGTAAATCAAAATCTATATGGAGTTCATTTGCATTGACCGTCTCAGTTTCTGCCTAAATTGATCTGTCAAATCACATTGTATGTCATAATCTTACATTTTTAAGCAAAAGCTAAAGGTAACTGGCAAGAGGAGTAGCGGTCGATCCTCGAATAGCCTAACCATTCTTCGCCTAACCATTCTTCGATACAAACCCTGAACCCATGGGGTCCAACTACTAGAAGCCATTCCTGTTGCCATTTTCTTTGCTGAAGCTGCATTATCCGCCAAGTAAGGAACTATATATTTTTGCATCCCGGCGAGAGAGATCTGGAGATTGTTCCTAGAGACATTGATGAATTTGACTTTCCCAGCTTTATCCAAGGTCTTCAATCCAATCCAATCCTTGGTGTAAAGCTCGGTCTGCAGGAAATGCATCGATTAGATACATTCCTTTTTTTTTTCAATCCAATCCAGTCCTAATGGTAAAAGGATGCAAATTGTAGCAGAGTAAGGGTAAAAGCATGTTATGACGAGCTTACACCACAGCGACAACACAATATCACAATATGTTCGTTCGCCCATTCTGTTCAGTCCATTTTTCTCATGTAAATGCAATTTTCCTTCGATTATTGACTTATCAATAGTTAATGCTCAATGATGAAATGAAAATCATAAATCACTACCAAAAGTAATTCCAAACCATGTCATGGATATACACCTCCTACACCCAAAGATTGTAGAGGAAGAGCTCGGTAAGGATAATGCTTTCACAATCCTCAGTATTACTTTCAACATGGTTAATCATTCATATCTAAGGCTTAGAAAATGTTTCGGCTTGTTCTCTGTTACATTTCTTGGTTGATTGCACAAAGTGCAATAAAAAAAGTTGATTCCAAGTCAATATCAATGTTACCAGAGATTTTATACATTCTAGACCCCTGGTTTTTCATATATTTATGCGCGTGCAAGTCCTCGAGCAAATTCTTAATTATGGAATCGGTTTGAGGACAGGAAATAATCTCAAAAGAATGGAACCTTTCAAAATGCATGCTTTCTGAACCACAAGGAGATTCCACCCTCATCCACCATAAATACTTTACCACTACTTTTCAACGACCATTAGTATCACCCAAAAATTACCATGATTCAATGGCACTGATAAAGACACTGATAACTGCATTTCAAGGTAATGCAGCAATTACCTCCTGGGTAGGCAAAACAGTATCAAAAGTTCCATCTAGATAGTATCCGAACCAGGATGTTTCCTTTGGTATCAACACGGTGCCTTGCTCAAACTAGAGGGAAATAAAAAGAGTTAGCATCACGAAGCTGCGAAAGACAAGGATCCAAAATCAACAACGTATTCTTACCTTACCAAAAAAAAAAAATCAACAACATATACAAAACTAACCATAATAAGGACTAGGTTCTGCAAGTTAGCAAATCTTTCCTTGTAGGTTGAGTTTCTGTCATCCGCAAGATCATTGTTTACTTTTGGGAGAAACCTGCAGCATTTTAGACAGTTAGCAAGGTCCTGCAGAAACGAAAGGCAATTCACGCATTGCTTAATTGAAAGAACATTTACTTTGTGACACAATAGTGAGTGAAATGAGATTTTGCATTGAGAAATAACATCAAACATATGAAACTAAAAACAGGGAATCAATGAAAATATGCATTGCTCCTATGTTATACAAAGAGTATTGTCAGCCACGCCTATTTTTGAATGGTTATAAAAAATTTTGACAGGATAATATCGTAAGATGTACAAAATTAGGACCATCGAGAAGATATAAACAAAAAGTCATCCTATTGAAATATTTTCTCTATTAACACAGAATCATAGTCATGGTTGTATCTTCACATAACCAGCGGGTGCCAAGTGCTCCTGTGATTGTATGAAGGTTTCCGAACAAAACAAGAAGATGCGGTTAGTGAAGTATGAAAGAAGAGAGAAAATTGGTTGGCACAATATTTCAACAGTGACATGTAAAGAAGCTACTTGTTGATGGTGCAGAAAAAGTAGCCTGGATAAGACTTTGAGCAACACTATCTTCGGGTATCGTTACAGTAAAAGGGTAATGTGAATCAGGAAATGGCTAGTAAGACCAAGTCAAACCTGGACATAGTCAAAGTAGAACCCTATTAGCTCAATCAAATAGTCCACAAGAACGCAGAAGATACCGGACTGTAAAAGAAGGAAAAAAAAAATCAAACTGCGGTGATATAAGCAAACTTCAACCCCCATGAGACCTCAACCAAGAGAACACTAGAGAATGGCGTATCCTAATGCCAAATCAATCTAAAACCACGCCAGAAACGCATGTCATGTACAAAAATATTTGCAAATAATTATAGGAAAGACTTGAAAAAACGATTTTTTTTTTGCCCTTGTCATGTACAATTCTACTAGAGAGAACTGCTCTCAAATAGCCAAACAGATTCTCAAAGGCTTCTGTTCATGAGTCACGATAACCAATTTCGGTGGGCCTCGTCAAGTATATGTTCAAATGAAGTTGATCCTCAGCAGCTCTTTATTAACAGAAAAGAAGAAACATGAGAAACAATCCAAACGAGTCTTATTTTGAAAGCATAACATTATCTATGTAAACATAACCATAGCCTCCGCTTTGCCTATAGTAATATTACATATTCAAATGATCGCTAAAGTTCCACATTCTTTGCAAAACGTGTCTCGTCAAAGTAAATTTGAATTCTGAGGAGAACGTGCGTACAATGCCTTTCTCACTTGGCACTTTTGCTAACTCCTACTCCCCTGGAACAAAAAAAGAAATATTGTTAGCACCTGGCATTACCACAAGCAAAGTCATGAAAACAACAAAAGAATCTTCAATTGACACCTCTATGGTAACCAATCAGGGATAAGTTGATCTCATGTGACGACGATAATGATGATTGTAGATAAAAAGGTCGTCTAATTAATTCCCCTAAAAAAGAACAAAACTCGGAGAAGTTATTTGATAAGGATGCATCTTATACGTGATCCTTCTGCACCAAGCAATCTCAAAGGCAGACATGGACTGTATACACTCCTATGGGTACATCTTCGAGTTTCAAGCCCTCAACAAGAATAATTTCTTGCCGCTTTACCATAGTGTCAATTTCTTGAGCCTAGACTTCATATGAGAATGCAACGATGTGAAATCCGGGCAAAATCACCAACACTAGCTTAGGTCTAAGATGGCAATTCATCAATGAAACATCGTCATTCTTAACTTTGATGGGGAAGTTTATCATACGTCAAATCAATTTCTTACCCGGCTTTCAAGGAAGATAAGATGGGATGGAATCAAATGATCATATGAGGTAACAGATAGGTAATCAATTCATGCATTGAATAACACAGACCGCGTCATGCAAGATTGCATCTCAATCTCAGACATGTAATAATCTACAAGTTGCAGAAGAAGAAAGAAAATAGATGATCAAGTTGCACTATTTCTCAAGAGGTAGGTTTAGTGAAAATTGCGTAGTGCTCAAAAAGCCTGATAGCAACATATGCTTGAACGTTTTCTTACACACCCATGTGTTTAGAGATCAACCGAATATCATGTGTTCATGTTGACAGTTATTACAGCACCATACTGCGACTCATGTGTCGTCAAGGAGAAAATCAAATAAGATGAAAGTATGCATTTGTTGCCATGCCTAAGAAAAATAACATTTGCTTGTAGTGAAGCTGCAAGTAAAAATTGGTGGTAATAGAAAAGGTAGCTACCTAACAGAGAAATATATCCTAACATGGTTTCTGGGTAACGATAAGGAAACATCATGAAGTACACTATAAATCAGTGAGTCTTGGTAAAAGGTGAAGATAAGATGACAATGAAGCAAAGCACCAAACACAAAAAAAAAGAAAAAAACAGAGCTTTCTCACTAAGATTGCATCAGAATAGTATAGAGGGACGAATCCTACCAAGTTTAATTTCTGTGTTCTCTACCAACCATTTTGCTCCATCTCTGATGAATCCCACATGGCTCGTGTTGAACTCTTTTTCGTGCATAAGCCGTCTGAGAATGAAACAGAGCACAAATCAAATTTGTCCTTCTGATCATAGGACTCACTAATACCACAATTTACTAAAATACTCAGATGAGTGCTCCAATAGCACATGCATGGGCAACATGATTTCCAACAATTTGGAAATCCCACATTAGTTCAGCTGACCATGACCCACAAAAGGATGCTTAGGAACAGAAGTTTACCTGGCACTATGTAGGGTTCTGAACAACACCCGTCTCAAACCCTTGGGAATATGTAAAGACTCCATTACTTCAGCTGCAGGAAGTAGTCTATGTCATTCTTACAGAATTGGTTGGACATATCAATATGTTTTAATATCAAAGCTGTCGGATCAAATATTAGTAAGTGCCTAACTATATTCTTGAAAATAAAAAGAAAAAATCCAAGGGCTTGTTCTCACACCAAGACGAGTATGCTACTTGGTCCATTGCAAAATTGACCATATTAGAATCTAGCTAGAAGAACTAGTGTATTGCCAGCAATGGTCACTTCTGGGACAACTAAATTGTGTAAGAATTTTACTTCTCGAAGGAATAAATACTCCCAATATTCTCAAATAGCTCATATTTCACCAGAAAACAAAAAATATTATATCAATAGACAATAAAACAATAAAAGTTGGCAAATATGACATGCCAAGCCCTAACACACAAATGACTAACTAAAATGGATATAGAAAATGCAGCCACTACTATGAAGCACCCAAGTTTCCAGCAAATTGGTCAAGCAATCAAACCTACTAACGATGATGATGACAACGATGACAACAACAATAATTTGGCAGTCAGCATGTAATTTTGAAAGCAAAGTTAGAACCTAGCATTATTATTGCAAATGAGTGAATTAGAGAAATCACACCACTGTTCTTACACAAAGGTCATCTTATGTACTCTATCTTCTGACATTTTTTTTTTGTATTTTGCTTTTGAGCCTTATCCATAATTCTACATGCATAAGAAAAAAGGAATAGATTCAACGGATCGTACATGCCCAAAGTGAGGATATTGCCGTTCCACACCGCAAGATTCAACTCCCTATGCCCTTCAACGAGCGTGAACACAAACTTCTCTTGAAATGTCGGGTTTTTACCACCGTCTGCACACCAAATCAAATCAAATCAAATCAAAACTAAGATGTCCATTCGCACAGTTTTCCCATTTAGCTCAACACCAGAAACTTCACCCATCAAACCACCGTAACGAAACTTCATATCCAGATTCGAACAGGGAAAGAGGCAATTGCGCAAGCATTTAGTGTGCAATTTTAGAATTACCAGTTGCAAGTGATGGTGCGAAACTTGGTGTTGCCATATTCCAACCAGCACCGATGGGACTCCTAGGGGCGATGGCGGAGGCGGAAGCTGGGGTGGAGGCCACGGCGACTCGCTCGAGAATGCAGCGGATCTAGGAATCGGAGCCGCCAATGGGAATTCTGTGTATGATGGCGGACGCGGCGGCAGCGTTTGAGGTATCACCCCCGAAACTCTCCATTACTAAAGATTCTCCGCTCCTGGATACGACGGCGGACGCGGAGGCAACCGATGACTGATAGGTGTCACCCTCAAACTCTCCATTACCAAAGATTGTCCGCTCCTTTAAAGGTCCCAAGTGGTTTAGACCTTGCACGCTTTTTAGCTGGCCACAATCTATTACTTTGAGCTTCCGTAGCTCTTTCAATTTCGATAGGTCTGACATCCTCTCCAGGGAAGGGCATCCGTAGACTGATAGGGAGCCAAGGGATCCCAATTCTTCAAGGCCACGAATCTCGACTAATGAATGGCAAAGTGTCAGACTTACCTCGCATAGATTCTTCATGCGCGACAGATCAAGTACTTCCGGAAGGAACTCACAAACATCCATCTTTAATAATCTCAATCTTTTCATTTCCGGTTGCGACGGTGAGTCCAGTTTTCTAAGCTCACAGCGCTCCACATGGAGTTCCTCCGACTCCACATCAAATATACTCGAGAGTTTTAGCGAACATTCATAGAATGCCAAGATTGACAAGTTTTGCAAATTGGAAAAATCCGGTGATCGTGTGGTCGCCAGATGTTGAAGTTCTAACTCTCTTAAACTAGACGGGAGCCGGGGGAGGAATTGCACGTATTTGCAGGACAATGATAGTGATTTAAGCTGAGATAGGGTACCGATGCTAGTGGGAAGAGTGGTCACAAGTGTTCCCTGTTGAGATAAGGTACCAATTCTCGAGGGGAAAAATAGGCTATAAGAAGGGATCCATATCAGCCAAGTCAAACTTGGGGGAAGCTCCGGCAATTGTTTCAGCCCGGGACATTTTTCTAGCCTAAGTATTTGGAGATTAGAGAGGTGACTCACCGTAGTGGGTAATCCAGATATTTGGGTCCCTGACAAGTCTAGGATCCTCAAACAGAACAGTCTCCCAATTTCTTCAGGGATTTCACCGATCAAGTTGCAACATCCTCGAGCATCCAACTCTTCGAGCTTCTCCACCAGCCCAATCACACTTGGCAATTTTGCTATCCCTTTTATGCCTCTCATCCTTAGTACCTTCAGTTGCTTTAGATTGCCGATTGAATCGGGTAGGTGACGAATTCTCGTCCATGACAAATCCAACTCGACTAATGATTGTAATTTCCCAACCGAATCTGGAAGTTCCTTTATGTATGTACACCCAGATAAATTCAACCTTGTAAGTTTCACCAGCCCTTCACTCGAGTATGGCAATTTGTTGATCCGCCTATGTGATGCATCGAGGGTCAACAGTGATTGTAAATTACCAAACGTCTTCGGAAGTTCATGTAGCGTATGAGGCATGACAATCTCTATCAAAGCTTGTAAACTTCCTATTTCTTTAGGCAACTCTTGAAGAGACCGACATCCCCCCAAGTTCAAAGAAGTTAGGAGCTTTAATTTACCAATGGACGGGTTAATTTCAATTAAGTTGGAACATCCTTCAAAAACCAAGCTCTCCAAGGACACCCACGTAGATAAATCAGGTGTTCTCTTTAAGGATTGGCAGTAGCTGAGATTTAGTACTTTTAGTTTTCTGGCCTCCTGCAAAACAATTGGATCAATATATAATGAGAAACGACTTGTAAGAAAAAAATGGCAAAAGAAACGATATGCGTATGCAAGGAGTAGGACTCAAATCATACTTTGATTTGGCTCCAGCCAATCCATTCCTCAGAAATATGGCTTCGTGAAAGGTCAAGAACGACTAAATTAGTCAGATGAAAGTTTGTTGCCTCAAACTTGGGAGGGCAACTTTGCCAAGAAATCCATCTTAAATTGAAGAGAAGATTATTGAAGTCTCCAACAAATAACACCCTATCCCCCCGAAAGAACCTCAGGTTCCACAGATTAGCAAATTCATCATGCTTTAGAATAACGTCTTCATTTCCATGATATCCTACGGATAGTGCTTCTATTTTCCGACTTCCCTGACAATGGAAACACCAAGAAGTCCACATGTGAAGGTCAAAAGCAAACAATATTAAGCGCTAATAGCAATTAATTTTTCCTTTTGCAAGAATAGTATGCAACAATTCATAGCGAAATAAATTGATATTCCCTTATTGTACCTCTTTTAGCTGCAGAATGCTCAGGGCTTCCTTATGATTCCACACTCTGCTACGCTCATGGGGATCGTTGAAATTCTCTTGACGGATAATCTCCCTTCCGAGGTCCCGCACTTGATCATGCATCCAGAAAGTATTGTTATCTTTGATTTTTATCAAAGACATGAGAGAGAGGACTTCAAGGGAATCGTGGGGGTGATATCCATAGTCATCCCACATGTACAGAGGGTATGTTTTGTCCCGACCAACAAAAAAACAAGCTATATCCAGAAATACTTGCTTTTGTGCATGATCTAACCTTTCATAAGATACCATCAATTTTTTTTGGACTCCCATCGGAGGAGCTTCTTCTAGCTTCTTCAATGTGTCTACCCATATTTTTTCGGATTTACCGCTAAGGGATGAACCTATAATCTCAAGAGCCAATGGAAGCTTTCCCAAAGTAGAGACAATTGCTTTTGAAAGGGAGACATAATGGTCTAGTGGAGAGTCTCTTCTAAAAGCATGCCTACTAAAAAGCTTAAGAGCATGATCAAATTCCATTGCGTGTGCTTCATAAGTCCAAACATTTGCAAACTTTTTTACAGGGCCTTCATCTGTTGCTTCTCCCTCAATCATTAGGACACTTTGGTCCCTAGTAGTTATGATAATCCTACTACCGGAACCGAACCAATTGCCCTTTTCTGCTAATTTTTTGAGTTGCTCTTTCTCATCCACGTCGTCAAGAACAATGAGAACTTTTTTATTGCAAAGTACTCTCTTAATCATGTCGATCCCATCATCCACGTCGTGAATTTGGTTGAGGTTAGAATGAGAATCGAGGAACTTGGATAGTAGCTGTTTTTGCAAATGTACCAGACCATGTCGTCGTGATGACTCTCCGATGTCGGAAAGGAAATTGCAGCCTCGGAAGTGAGAAGACAGTTGGTTGAAGATGATCTTGGCAAGTGTTGTTTTGCCAATCCCGCCCATTCCGTGGATTCCGAGGAATTGTATGCTATCGGATTCCACATGCAACATTTTGATTATAGCTTCTACACAATCATCAACTCCAACTAGATGTTCCGTCACATTTTTTTTAAATCCGATGTTCAGCTTAGTCAACACAGCTTGCTTTACAGATTGTATCAAGTCTGCTTGGCTGCCATGACATAACAACCATGTTAGGGATAAATTTTACGTTGTAAAACTACTCCCTAAGTGACTCAATTGCCCCTACAATTTTCTAGACGCCAAAACAATATAGATTTTTCCCAATCTATCTCCGCTCCCCCAAATTTCAGTCACCACACCATCGGCCCCTGCCACTGCCACGCCGCCGTTGACGTCGCTCGCCTCCCTGGGCCGTCGCCGTCACCTTCTAGTGCCATTGCCCATCATGCCCCATCGACCCGCCCATCTCAGCCTTGCCTCAATCCTCCACATCTCATGGGTCATGGCCTTGCGACTACCGGGGATGATGTCATCGGCCTTGGGTGACACCAGATTTGGGGTCGCCCAAGGTCAGCAACGCCGGATATGGGCTCGGTGGCATTAGACCCGACGTCCAAAACCCAGATCCGACTCGCCTCAGTGAGTGAGAGAGCGAAAGGGTGGGGGCCGGATGGCTCGGAGGAGGCTTCTTGCAGCTTGGTGTCGGGCTGGCGATAAAGAAGTGGCAGCGACTAATGGACAAGCTTCTGCGGTAGCTGGCCAGCAGCTTGGTGGAGCTGCTCGGAGAACTGGCTACTGTGTCGGAGACTGAGAGTAAGAGGAGAGACAGAATCTGGATGAATGGCGTGCGCTACCACCGCAATAGTGCGATTGACCAGAGCTATTGCAGTGATACCACCACTGCCGGTAAGAATTCCGTTCTCGCCGCCATAGCGGCCGGTAGCAGTAGCGGCAGCGGCCGCGACCGCTATTTGAACTAAATAGAATCTACTAGATGAATAGACTATAATTTCACCAACAATACCACAATTATACTGTACAGGGAGGAAAACGAGATCTAAAGATGACAGTTGAAAAGTTCTAAGACATTTACCCTTGATCTTTTTGCCAGTTCCATCCCTTTATCTTGCCCACCTCAATGAGAGCCTTTTCCCATGACTCTACTTCAGTGCACCACGTCTTCTGGCGCTTTGAAAGAGTTTGTCTGTACAGGTTTGTTTTCAGCTTGACATCGGCAGGTTCCACATCCAAGAAAATCGGCAGAATCTCTTTCTTCCCATTCGATTTCGTGGTGCACTCCACCATATATGCAAGCTCTCGGAGGCACCAGTGACTCGAAGCATAATTCTCGGAGAATATGGGAATGTAGATCTTGGAGTTCTCAATTGCTTGTAGAAGTTCACCACCAATTTCCTTACCGACATGGAGGGATTCATTGTCCCTAAAGACGATGATCCCGGCCTCAACCATGCCATGGTAAAGATGATCGGTGAATTCATAACGGGTGTCCGCTCCTCGAAAACTCAGAAAAACCTCATACGAAGATCCGGATGATGCCCGTGAATGCGTCCCTTTCTCCATTGTAGGATCTCTAAACACCAAAGATATCAAATCTTTTCTATCTCTCAGGGAAGTTTGCTTTGGGTGTGCTTGGATCTGAGAGAGGGCTGTCAATATGATAAGCTCTCTCGGTCTCTGGCGTCATGGGGTAGGGGAAAACTTTCCATGAGTCATCTGAGAAGTTTCTGAGAAGTTTCCTAAAAGTTTCGGGTCCCATTCATTTAATAACAAATTTAAAATTAAAATTATCATATATGCGTCATAATATTAACATCACTTAATGAAGTGCCGGTGTTACCAATAAAAGCAGTTAAATAGTATAAGAGACTGAAAACAATCATTCACACTATTACTTAGTTATAAAATAACGTGACAAACTTTGAATGCTTGACTATGCCCTACCTTTTCAAATAATACTTTATATTTTATAGAGCTAGATCCCAAACAAATATGAT